ATATGTTATTACTGTGACAGCTCTTGCTACATTTATATTTAACGAGACAAGAAACAAAGCATGCTAACTACTCACAAGGAATCACACAGTTTCACCAAGAAAGTAAGATATCAGTAACAAAAGTAATTTAAAATTAGTCCTTTATTCAAAAATGACAATATAATTTCACTGAGATTACAACAAAAATTAAGCCTTTATGGACTAAAAATTGCTAGTTTATTTAACAAGTAATTTTTCGGATCTTATTTAATTAGAATATACACAAGTAGCCACAAGTTTGTAACATTCACCCATAACCATTAAAAGAAAAAAAACATTATCTTAGCAGTAGATTTTGACTAATAACATATCATATATATACGCAAAGTCAAAGCATATAGATTAACATGGATACTTAATGCTTAAAAAGAATAAACTATACTGATGAAAAAGAGATAAATAGATCTTGGGACATACTTCTCCAGCAACGAGATTTATGATATGAGGCGTGAACCCTTGCCCAGCATCGCCTGCACCAGTAGGTGAGATCATCACTGATAATCCTTAGATGCAATTAAATCTAACCAATACGCAAATATAATATGCCAAATATGGAACCATTGAAGACAAAGCTTCCAACTTTAACAAACACATGCGATATAAGCATTTCTATAAATAAAAACAAGGCCAATTTACAGTACCAAACAAGTAACAAGCAAACAAGACAAAACAATACAAATCAAAAAAGTACAGATGGAGTAAAAATTGAAATTATATGATGGCAATCCTAAAATACCATGCATCTCTCTCAAAATTAATAAATTTCATCTATAATAAAACTTCCTTTTCATTATCCACGTAAAGAAAGGGAAAGGTAGGGAAAGAAATCCAGAAACCTTATAATCAACACAGGTATGCATAAGGAACTCTTTCAAACTCAATACAAATATGGCTCCACACTTTCAGTAACCATATAGATGTTGGGTTAGATACTTGGATCAAATGCTTATAGTTCTACCAAGAATATAAGAAACAAACAAATTACGGATTTGCAAGAAGAAACAAAATGTAAAAGGTCTTGATTTTGACTACAACATTAGGTCAGATTATGAGTTTACTGAGCCTCTGTGTTTGAGAGAAAGCTTACCAATAGCAGCAAACTTCGAGGTTTTCAGAGTGTGAAAAGAAACACCGCTTCCTTGTCCGACGACGCCGCCTCCTTGTCCTACAGCACCACCAATTCCGCCTCCTTGTCCTCCGGCACCTCCCAACGGCACCTGATCCCTCTTCTTGGGCACCGAATTCGAAGCGGAAGCAGCAGAAGAAATCCTCTTTGCAGCAGCAGCTTGTTCAGGAGTTTCGTACTTTCTAGGCCTCCCACGCTTCTTCTTCACGGCCTCCGTCGGTGGTGAGACAGCCGATGGAATGGAACCAGGGTAAACTATGAGAGTCCCAGAAGCCCCAGGTGCGGGGCTGTTGTTACCGAAGCTTGGCGTAATTCCATTGGTGGCCACGCCGGTGACGGCCGCCGTCGTCGTGGGTGTAGCGGAGGATGGGTGCACTGTTTGGTGGTGGTAGTAAGAGCTCAGCCCAGTGCTTTCACTCGGCTCCATAGGCGGAGAAATCTTGGATTTGAGATTTTTTTTTTTTATTTTTTCGATTTACAGAAATTATTATCATAAATTCTTTATTTGACTTTTCCCATTTTCTTTACTGTTCTGGTTTTCATTTTATTACGTTGCCAAATTATTGCCGTGGGATTGGGTATAAGCATTGACTTCATTTTCCTTTATCTTTTCTCTATAGTTTGAAAGCTGTTGTGTTCAGAGAATCCGGATAGGAATTGAGTTTTTCCCCAAAAAAACCGTTAAATAAATAAATATTTTTAAAAAATAGTTTTGGGTTAAAAGTATTTTCCTTTTGAAGTGCGTCTTATATGCCGAAGAAAGTGTCCACTCTTGAAAATTCAATCCTGTCGTGATTCAGTGTTCACTGTGGAAAATTTTATTGCTTATATATTACGGATGCATTTTATGGATCTAGCAAGAGATTTAATTAGAAAAGTTTAATTAGAAGAGGAAAATTATCCTGATGCTATTTTTATATTTTATTTATTACTTTCTATTAGGAATAGAAGTATTAGAGGTTACAATTTCTATTAGATAAGAAGTCTTATTAGTAATAGAAGTATTTAGAGGTTACAGTTTTAGTTAGACTAGAACTCTATCATGTAAAGACAGGATGCCTATTTATATTCCTTTTTCAGCCTTAATAAAATATCGATCATTAGAAGAATTAATCCCCAGAGAGAAGTCACGGACTTCCCCCTGCGCTCTTACTGCGCTCTTCCAGCCACGGGCAAGAAGAGGAGTAACCCTAGCAGGCAGGTTATCACCTCAATCGGGTACCCTGCTACCCCAAGACGTCCCTGGACTCGTTCTCAGTCACAGAACCCTAACAATTTGATATCAGAGCTGTCACGATCCATGGCGCCACAGAATGATGATTTAACCATCGTGATGAAGGAGTTCATAGAGGCTATGACTGCTAGGGTAACCGCCATAGAAGGGCAGATTGCCGCTCTATCTCTGGCAGTCCAAATCAACAGAAACACATGAAGAGCAACCCGATAACAACCTGATACCAATCACACAGCACCTCAAACCCCTGGAAACCACAGTATGCGAAGATGGAATTTCCTGTGTTTGATGGCACCTGCGACCCTACGAGTTGGTTGAAAAGGTGCGAAAAATTCTTCTTGAACCAAGAAACTCCTAGTATTGCAAAGATGAAAATGGTCTCATTCCACTTGATAGATGATGCACAACTGTGGTTCGATCAGATGATAGAGGAAGAAGGAGAAGTCAACTGGGAGAGGTTTAAAGATCTTTGTGTGGGGCCCCCTCTGAGTTCTAACCCGATTGGAGATCTGAAACTTCTGATGCAGATCGGATCAGTTGATGAATATTGTGCTCAATTTCAGAAGGCCTTAGCAAGAACTTCACAAATACAGTCCCCCCATCAGATTGCTTTGTTTGTCGCAGATCTCCATCCCCACTTACGGGCTGATGTGGAGATAGCAAAACCATGCAACCTGGGTTACGCCATGAACCTTGCACAGACATGGGAAGCAAGGCAAACACTGACGCTTGCACCTGTAAAAGTCTCGGGTCCTACAACAGATATGAAACAACACAGCAGCCCGCCACAGCTTAGACAAGCGCTTGTGACAACAAAGGCAGGAAATCCTATTGTTAAGCGACTCACGAAGGATGAAATGGCAGAAAGACGAGCAAAAGGGCTATGTTATAATTGTGATGAACAGTGGAGGATGAATCACCGATGCAAAAAACTTTTCTTGATCGAGATAGAAGATGAGCAGGAAGAAGATGATGGCTTCCCAGACTTGGAGTTGTCTGCCAACGCTATAAGTGGAACTATTAGTTCAATGGCAAGGCAGCACACCAGACAAGGCCACTTGGGAACCGTTTGACACTTTTATCACTGCTTATTCAGGATATGAGCTTGGGGACAAGCTCAGTTTCGAGGGAGGAAGTGATATTACGGATGCATTTTATGGATCTAGCAGGAGATTTAATTAGAAAAGTTTAATTAGAAGAGGGAAATTATCCTGATGCTATTTTTATATTTTATTTATTACTTCCTATTAGGAATAGAAGTATTAGAGGTTACAATTTCTATTAGATTAGAAGTCCTATTAGTAATAGAAGTATTTAGAGGTTACAGATTTAGTTAGACTAGAACTCTATCATGTAAAGGCAGGATGCCTATTTATATTCCTTTTTCAGCCTTAATAAAATATCTATCATTAGAAGAATTAATCCCCGGAGAGAAGCACGGACTTCCCCCTTCCCCCTGCGCTCTTCCAGCCACGAGCAAGAAGAGGAGTAACCCTAGCAGGCAGGTTATCACCTCAACCGGGTACCCTGCTACCCCAAGAACCCTAACATTATACTGTTGTAAATCCGTCAACAATAATATATTTCTCTCATATTACGTTAGGAGACATTAATTGAAATTAGGTTGGAAAGCTTGGAAAGAATATAATCATATCGTATGGAATATGGGGATTTAAATTGACTAATACTTTATCATGATGACTTTATAAATAAGGACGATCTAGAAAACATAGGTACATATTCATTAGTAAGATTTTACAATATAATCCATTTTTATTTTGTACAAAAGTAAAGTCGTTGACAAATTACTTTATTGGCCTCTATATAATAATTATTGGAAGTTGATTGGGCCAAATTATACATAGAAAAACGCAATCAACTTCAAAAAAATACTCCCTCCGCCCCTCGATAATTGTCCCATTTTTTTCATTTTTGGATGTCCCTTTATTATTGTCTCATACTATATTTGGTAACATTTGTGTGACTCTAATTCATTCTTACTTTATTTCCACTTTATCAACTCATTACCAACCACATAATTTTATTTTTCTTAACAACCACATCACTCCCTTTCGTACCAATATTAAGGGGACGGAGGGAGTATTTGATTGTCTTCCCGGTCGAATTTTGAACTGAAATCTTTTGTGGATAAATTAGACTTGATGAAGAACATTCCATAAAAATTTCATCAAAAAATTCGACCAAAAACTACCCCAAACAGCGGTGTTCGGACGGGGGCTCCTGTCTGAACGTTCGGACAAGAGCATTTCTCTCTCTCTCTATCTCTCTCTCTCTCTCTATATATATATATATATATTTGCATATATGGAATTATATATAACAATTATTTTTGTTAACTAAAAAGTATTGATCAAAGTTTACCACCATTAACTAAAAAGTTAATAGTAGTAGTAATAATAATGACGATGACGACGGTGATGATGACGACGGTGGAGGTTGCAATAACAACAACAAAAACAATAAAGTTTGAGGGATGAAGAGAGTAAGTAAACAGATCAGATTGAAACGGATCAATATAGACCACAGTACCACAGTACCACACTAAACTTCCAAAAAAAAACATACTAGTTCAAATTGGACCTCATAAGTGAAAATAACCTTAACGATTTCTTTTAACTCCTTAAGAAGTTGGACCTAAGTAAGGCCATTGTCTCTTTGGTCTCACCATATGTCCAACAAATATTATGCGAGGGAATTACCACCAAAACACATATTTATGTAATTTGATTAATTTGTATGAGGTATTTGGCAAATACAGTCACAAGCCAAACACCAGCATATATTTCACGCTAATGGTAATTGCAGGATGCGTAAAAATGAAGGCCTCAAGTACAATGTGAATACATAACTGAGAAGCCCATATCTTCAAGACTCAAAAACCCACTCTATGCACTTCACAACTCTTTACTATAAAATGTTTCTAAACTTGAAGCCACCTCTTTAGGGGTAGACATTTCCTCATGGCGGTCGTCATTGGTGTTTGCCTTGGCAGGTTCTTCAACTTGAGTATTTTTCAGTTCTAACTGCAATTTACAATACCCAAGAGATGAGAGGATTAGATGCCACAAGAATGCCCATGAAGACTTGAAACGTTTTGAGAATACAAATGCTTCGTCCTAGAATCCAACTATACGCTTAGTCCTATTCGGTAAATGATATAGGAGCATACAAAACTAAGCTCTCCTTTTAAATCTATCTCCTATATTATTTTGGAAATAAGCTTCTTACATGTTTCCACAGCTAACCTTAATCTTTTACAAAAATATCCAATTCATCCACAATATAATTCATAGGACTATCTTTTTATATAAATCAGCTACTCAACATCTAACTTTAGCAAACATTTCTACCAACCGTTAAATATTTGTTGGAGTTCCATACTAATATTTTAGGAGTGATGCTTCTCCTTGGGTTGGATGAGTATATAGTTTTGGAGAGAGAAAAATGTAGGCCAAATATTCGTGTTGATCTCTTTTCATCTATTTTTCTTTTTTCTTTTTATCTTCTTTATCTTTTTATCATTTTTATTCTATATATGTTCTTTTTACCTTTTTTATCTTATCATTTTTATCTTTATCTTATATTTATCTTTACCTTTATCTTATTCTTTTTATCCTACCTTGTCTTTGTATTTTCCTTATCTTTTTTTCTCGGGCTGGGACATCATGTATCTATTCATGTTAGCCGACCCCGAACTCTTTTGGAATTTAGATTGTTTATACCAATCTTAATTATTTGTGTACTCATGAGGCTTACAAAGTTCAAATTCTTCATTGGAGTTTTTGATATTGTAATAAGACTTGGCTTTCCATCCTCCAAAGTCTACTGGAGAAATGCTCTAAAGCCTTATATGTGATTTAGTGTATTTTATACTTAACAGGTGTGTGCTAGCTTACATGCTTCTCAGTTTCAAGCATTTTGCAGATCTCAACTACACGTGCGAAACAGACCCATGATGTTATAATTTGCAAAAAAAAGCTAGGGTCATAAAGAGTTAGAAAGTGTAATTAATTGAATGGGCTAAAATGTCCTTGAAGTGACGAACAGTAAAGGATGCTAGAAGGGTATCTTAAATCGAGTTCAAGTTGACAGTGTGAGTGAATTGCCTCTCTGCATTTTTCCTGGTGTAGTATTAGAAGTTCATCATACTTGATTTGCAAATCTGAGAGTTGAGCTTGTATATTCTCATACTCTGATACTGTTGGCCCACCCATTTTTTGCTGGATGAAACTGTAAAGCAGAACAGAAGGTGAGCAGCATTACACAAACTATACATTCTTATGAGGCAAATTTCAAATTACAAACTCATACTCACTCAATTGCAGAAGAAGGTTTGTCATTTTGCTCATACAGTGCGACAAGAACTACAATACAGTGGGCACAAAGGAACAAAATTCAGATTGGTGGCATTTAAACTGGAGAAATGACAATTATGGAGTAATACTAACAGTAGTAGTAATGGTGACAGAAATAATAATAGTAATAATAATGGACCTTTTGTCAAACTATCAAGAACTCCGCTTGTCTCTAGATACTTTCTAAAAGCTTCTTTTTTGGCTTCTTTTTCCTGCAAAAGCCACACCAGTGAAGGAACAGACAATGACAAAGCGCGTGATTATTTCAGAAGAAGAAAGGCATAAATATCTAGCTCTGGGATAGAGAACAATGATACGCTTTATTCACAGATGTACTAAATAGTTTTTGATATTGTGGGTTCTTTTAATGCTAAATTGCATTAAGACTTGGTTCCATCTTCCATCTACTAAGATGAGTAGCCAAAAATCTTAAATATTAGTTTAACATTTTATATTTGCCCTTGTGTAACAAATACTTCAATTTAAGGATGTGGTCAAACAAACAAAACTTAAAGTGGTTACCCTAATAATGAGTGCAAAATAAATAATCAAACATACCCTAAATTGGTTAATGAATGTCAAATAAACAACCAAAACTAGACATTTTATTATTTTATATTTCACTGGTGTGGAACAAATAAGTAAAAAAACTTAAAGTTTCCCGCATTATTTATATGACTAAACAATAACACTCAGAACTTTCTCCAGATGTTTTCCTTTTTCTACCAGGTTAAATAAAATCGTCGAACATCTTTATCCAGTTAAAAATGGCCTAAACACAGAAGCTGGGTAGAATTCAACATGAGTAACTAAGCATACAAAAAAATGATCCTACAAATACTCCAGGGTTCTCCTCAGAAGTTACAAGAAAGCCTCAAACTTTTGTCACCGTCTTTTCCCCGGGTTTTGCCCCACCTAAAGGTTCAAATATCCATTTCCACCCAAAAAATGTACTCCGTACTTTTTAGCAGGGGTGTAGCTAGAAGGCAATACACTCCTGCCACTGCTTTCTAAGAAACCTAAACCATGATTAGCTATGCGCATACTGTGGGAACACCATACTCCGGTCAAATTAAAAGGGAAAGTATAATGAAGATAGCATACCATTTGATTTTCTCCTTAAGCGAACAGAGCTTGAATCCAACGGTCAACACCGAAAAATGCGCTTCCAACGGTCCTCAGTACTGCCAGTTGCTTTCTGGACGGACAGGACGGTGCTAGGGGTGGATTGGGAGGGACGGGGGAGCAGATCGGACTGAGTGTCTGAGAATGGCGTCCGATCTCCGTTTTCTTGTGTTGTTTGGTGTGGAAGATTACGCACAACCGTAAGTGATGTTTTGGATAAACCATAGTTCATTTAAGTCCAAAATAAATGAAACATTTTATAAAGATGGTAAATAAAAATGTAAGGAGTAACTTTTTTAGACTCCTTCCCTCCCTAGATGGTGTCCCTATGTAAAAGACTTTTTTCCCTTTTTGTCAAACAAAACAATGTAAAACAATGTCAAACAGTGTCCAAACAATGTCAAACAGTATTTCGCTTAAAGATGTGTGTCGTTCAAACTATGCCTTTTATATAGGGACGGAGGGAGTATTTAGTGATTTTAAATTGAAACAATGGTAAAGATATTAGTCTCATACTTATTGTAAACAAAAATATGACCATAATCCATTTTGACAAAAAGTGATTGAATTAATATGAAATGACCTTCATGTCCCTCTTGATCCCCGACATCCCTGTGTGAGACCTTCATGTGCGAACAAAGACTGAGATCCATTTCCTGCTTCACATTCGTACCGATGGAGCAGACACATACGTGGCTGACCGTTGTTGTCACCATCGTCGTTCTTGCTGTTGTCACAATCGCAATTTTCATTCACCATCGCCGTTCTCGTCACCATGGCCCATGCTCTCGCGCCAGTAACAAAGTTGTCGCATCGCCGACGCCCTCGTCCTCGTCCTACTCCACCGCATCTGCCTCTAGGTCGCCGTCAACTTCTATTCTACTACTTATTCGTTTTTTTTTTTCGATTTGAGGTGAAAGGTGCAAAGTCTTGGCTCCATAGTTGTGGTCATGCTTCTGTGTAGGCGATTTCTAGCGGCTGAAATTATGGTTGGGGCTGGGGGCCTAAGGTTGTTGGTTATTGGTTGGATGGTGGTGAGCTGGAGATTCAGGCTAGGTCAGGGTTGGGAGTGACGATTGGGGGTTGGGGCTGAATGCTAGTGGTGTTGACTGACGGTGGTGGCTTCGTAAGGCATATTGGGCGACGGCTAGACTAGTCGCTGGTGGTGTTGACCGGCGGCGGCGATGTTGATGGGCGGAGAGGTATGGTGGATGGATTTGACGGCTCGGGTGCTACGGGTGGGGTTTGAAAGCTGAGTAGCAATCGTGAAGGGGATGTGCTTAGGAGGGGAGTTGGGGGTTGGGGAGGAGATGGATGCGGTTGCGATGGCCAGAGTAAAGTTCGTCAATCGATGTTACTGGGCGATGGCGGCGTCACTGTGACGTGTCACCGGGGTCATGTCACTGTGTCTGACGGCGGTGTACGGCCGACGGCAGACACATGTGGGAGGTGGTGATGGATGTCACTGTGTTCGTCTCAGAACAGTAACGTGTCATAGTGACACGAAAAAATTGCAGTGACATAAAAATTTATAGTTGCATCATGATCTCCAAATATATGATCTTGTTGGTCACGTTTTTGTTCATATTTAAAAGTAGTCACTTTTTTAGATTGACTCTAATTTAGTACGGAGTAATATTTAGGGGGAAACCCCTAATAAATTTTACATTGATTGTCACAATTATATTCAATTTTAGAGACTAAAGATACTGTGAAAACAATTCTAATCACTTGTTTTTGAAAAAAACAACACCTATATTGATATCATTACTTTCAGTATCGTTATATCAATAAAAAATAATATATGACACCAACTGACATCCACTAATTCATTTTCGATCGCAAACTCTACGATTAGACATAGAAACAGTATCCCCTGAAAGAGCAACACAAATCGCTAACAAAAGAATAGGCTTGACGCGACTATCATTGATCCTATAGATCTGTATACATCTAATGACTTAAAAATAAGCAAAATTTCCCATCATCGCGGCAAACCTAGCAACATGGACTATAAAAAAATCCAAACAACAAAATAACAATTACTAATAGGATAAATTTCTTAAACCCTAACACCTCATTCGACCGCGGTGGTTCAGGAGGAGATCGGGCCATCAGTACTGTTGTGGTTGATCCTCCATCTCCAGCCGGATCCTGACCTTCGCCAAAACCCTCGCCCTCCAACCCTCTTTGTCCCGCACTCGTAGCAAATCCATCGCTCCTCGTCGTCTTGGTCGCGGCACCGCGACCTTTCACGGTTCAAACAAGACATCCATCCAAAGTCTGCATCATTTCCACCTCCTCACCTTTCATTCTATGCTTCGCTATTGAAGCAGAGAGAGATCAAAATATTGAAAACTCTAAGGGTATGTTTGGGAGTTGGGTTTTGGAAGGGAGGGGAAGGTTGATAGGGGTATATCACCCTCCTTTTCATGTTTGTGAGTTTAAAAAAATTGGAGGGGATGGTTTTGGAGGGCTTTTGTAACCCTCCAAAACCATCTAGCTCAATTTTTAAGCTCCCCCAATGTAAAGGATTTTGAAGGATACTTAATGAAATGATAACCTAGGCTCAATTAAAAATGAATATCACTTCAATCATTTGAATTCGTCATGTCTCAAAGTGATTTGAATTATAATTTCTTCAAAAATTCCGTTCTTCCAAATTTATTACTCCCAAATACGAAGAAGAGATTTCTCACCTTCCCCTCGCTTTCCCCTCCAACAATATACCTCCAAAGTCTTCCCTTCTCCTTCCCTTCAAACTCCCAACTATAAGAGATTGTTATAATTCTAATCACAATTTACAAAACGCTGACGAAGGAACTTCACGGCTCCAAACCCTATTCCACAGATGAACTGCGCACCTCCATTTTTTCATAAGAGATTGTTATAATTCTAATCACAATTTACAAAACGCTTTAATATATGTAGTACTTGACTAATTCAGAGTACTCCTTTGGGAAGAAGACATAAAGAAGACTAAAACATACCGATGGAAGGCAAATAGGACCTCCGACTTTTAAATTCACGGATAGGACTAATTTTTACATGAAGGGACAAAAATACCCTCCGTCCCCAACTCTATCAACTTCTCTCTGCCAAACAAAAAAAATAAGCGACACCTCAATACCTCACAACAACGAACACCAAACTTACCCCATCCAAACTCCATCGTCGGACCTTATCCAAACCCGATGAAATTGAACTTCCACCGCCAGCTGGAGCAACGATTTACCTCTCTCTTGGCAGCAGATGCGGAGACATCAACATCTCTCTCGTTGGTCTTGTCCAATCCGGCGGGGTCTGTGTGACACTCCAAAAATTTAAATAAAAATAAAAATAGAATGTAATACTTAAGAATTTGGTTATTTTAGTTTATGTTTCGGGACGAAACATCTTTTAAGGAGGGTAGAATGTGACACTCCAAAAAAAAAAAATTTAAATAAAAATAAAAATAATTTTTATTAGCCAGATAAAATATTACGAAAATAACATTTTTATAAATAATTGAGTCAGACAAAAAATCAACAGTGGTAACATGCTAATCAGATAAAAATTTCAAAATTTATGACGTTTTAGTCAGATAAAAATGGTCCGATAATAGAAGTAACATTTTAGTATAAAATTTACTTTTATATATATCTATTTTAAGTATAATAATACGTATAGATTTTATACGTATAGATAATATAAAAAGTTAGTATTTTAAATAAACTAAACTAACTACTCCTACTTCTAATAAACCTACATACGTATTATTAAGTAATACTAATAATACTCCTAATATACATATAACTAAGTAGTATACTCCTAATATATAACAATTATACTCCTAATACTCATAAAGGTGCAAAAGAATCAAAATTTAACTCCAACTCTAACACAGCCCGGAACCCTCATCTTTCCCTATAAATAATAGGCCAGAACCTGCGTTTTCTTCATCCCAAAATCTGAGCAATACATACATATATACGTATATATATATAAAATTGCGACCCATCGTTTTAGCCAGAACCAAGCCTTGAAAATACTTCTCAAACCTTCCCCTTCGCGAGACGAATCCAACGGAGAAAGAATCGTGGAAAACGGACGTCGGAGTAGGGAGAACAAGCTCGCCGGAGTATTCGCCGGACTGATTTTGCGGCGGGAAACGGAGCAGGAAAAGAGAGCTGCCACCGCCGCCGCCGGACCATCTCAGACCTCCGCCGTCCCGAGGGAGTGCTCTGTCACCACAGTTCGCTCGTCCGACGCGGTAAGCCCCTCCCCCTTCTTTCTTCCCGTTTTCCGGCGACCTGGGGAAGAAGACAACCCAGCAATTGCTGGGTCTGTTTTGGGCCTTTTTCAGGTTGGGCCAGAAAAATTATAAATGGGCCAGTTCGGCCCAGTTGAAATAAAAATTAAAAATAAAATAGTAAATAAAATAAATAAAATCTGGAAAAATATAAATTAAATACCTAGTATAAATATACATATTCGGACCAACCAGAATTGGAAAATAAATTTTTTAGCTATTTTTAATGGATTTAATGGGAATTGGGCCAATTTATACACATTTAGTAAATAATTAACTAAATAGCGAAAATAATTATGAAATAAATATTGGAGTAAACTAGGATAAATATATGACTAACTAGGACCTTATGGACCATTTATAATTAATAAATATTAAGATTTAGTATATTTAATTGTAATTGAACCGGTTAATAGATATATGAAATTAAAGGAATAATTATGAAAAATAATTATAAAATAGATATCTGGACAACCTAGGTCGAATATAGACCCAAAATATATTTATGGACGGTTTTTAATTTATAAAGTCGATTCTTAGTCTATTTATTTAAATTAGGCCATATAAAACTAGTTAAGTAATTAAATAAGGAAATATTAATATTAATGGTGAAATAAATAAATCACTGAGATTGAAAAATAATATTCTGGACTAAAAATGATGTTGGAATAAAATAAGGAAAATAAAATAAGGATGGGTTAGCTAGCATAAATAATTGACTATATGTAGACTTAATAAATAACTTAATAATGTAATTAGTGGATTAATTCAATTAATAATTTTTATGACTTATTATTAGAGATTCGGACTTCATATAAATATTTAAAGTATTTGAACTCATAAATTAATGTGTTAATATAAATAAAGCAATTAAATAATATTTTATGAGTAGAGTAAATTAATGGTGATTATTGAATAAAAATTGGATGTTGTAGATAATTATATTCGGATATTTTATTTAATATTAGAATTCAAATATTGTAATTAATGGATGAATTAATAAGGTAATTTGATTAATAAAAAGTGATTAACTCGAATAATTAATTAACTAAATTAATAAATTCAAATAAACTAAGTTAATGCGAATAATAAAATAAAAGGAGAAAATCGGGTAAAGTAATTACAAATAGAATAAGTGACTAATTTATCATATTTAATTAAAAAGGTGATTATCTAGAGACCGGATTAGAGGAGGATAACTAGGAGCATCAGGACTTAAGGTAAGTTTCTCTGCCAATCCAAAATTGTTTCCTCGTATTATATGCTTATAATGCATTATGTGATTAAGTGTGAATTGTGAATTTTGTGTATGTGATTTTGAGGAGATATTATATATATGGTAGTTAAGAAGTATAAATCAAGTACTTTTGGGGTATTAAATATTTTTAAATACCTTTGAGACTTTTTAGAGGAATTAAGAAGTATTTTTGAAGTATTATTAAGCGAAGATAAAATTTACATTTTTATAAGAAGATAGCATCTCGGGAGTAATCCGAGGTGTCGGTTTTTCCACATCCGGATAAATGTGGAGGGTGATTAGAGCTACTACTACTAAGAAGTACAGTTTGGATCTATGATCCCTTTTAAGCAAGATTTGGATCTATGATCCCTTTTAAAGTGAGATTTGGATCTATGATCCCTTTTAAGAAGAAGTTATAGTAGTAGTCCCTAATCATTCAAGAATTTTAGAATTGGGGTGGTTGGGTTCCGACCACTCGGGATGACTTACTACTCGGAGGGCTTGGAATCCCTTTTAGGGGGTGTGCACACTTAAGGTAGTCATTTCGTTTCCAACAGAGCAGTTGTGGTACCGGCACTTGTTCGGGGTGGCCGTCCGTAACCACGGTCCACCGGGCTCTACCGAAAGGTTAAGCACCGCCCTTCTAAATTACTAGGAAGTTAGAGAAGAAGTGATTTTTTTTTAGAAGTTTAAAAAGAAGAGTTACTAAGAGATTTTCCAAGAGAAGTTTCAGATTTTAGCAAAGAAGTGATTTTAAGAAAAATCAAGGAGAAAAGTATTTTGGTGGAGTGCGTCATTTTTTTATATGATATTATATAAAAATCTATTTTTAGTCAAACCTGATTATTTTACGGGGTTGGGTAGTACTTACTTAGCTCTAAAGCTAATTTTTGTTTCCTTTTCTTTGTTTCGTTTTCTGCACTTTATTTGTGCAGGTAATGATGAATACGAAGCTCATGATGTTTGATGAACCTGGAGAGCGCTTTAGAAGAATTTAGTGTAGTCTTCACTTAGATTAAATAATGTTAGTGGATTTTGAATTCAAGTTTTTAATTCGGTTGAACTCATGGTGGATAGCCTTAACATCCAGCCAAGTTGAGGGCTGGGTGTGGCGGTAACACACCCTTTTTCCATTACTGTTATTTCCGCT